ATTAGCCGGGCATGGTGGTGCATGCCTGCAATCCCAGCTGCTTGGATGGCTGAGGTGGGAGAATTGCTTAAACTGGGGAGGTGGAGGTTGCAGCGAGCTGGTATCACACTCCTGGGCAACAGAGTGAGAATCTGTCTTAAAAACAAACACAAAAAACAAAATAACATTCATGTGGCAGTTCCACAGGCACCTTATATCTTGTTGCTTTACTGTTCTAATATCAGTTTTCCCCTCATGATCTAAGAATGGCTGCTTCAGCTACTGGAACACATTCACATTCCAGTCAGTGGTAAGGAACAGCAAGAAGGGAAGGGTACAGTCCTTTCCTACAAGGGAATAACTCAGATGTTATCACCTCACTTCTGCTTGCATCCCTTTGGCAAGAACTTAGTTACATGTGTACAACTAGCAACAAGACAGTTGGGAAATAGTGTGGAAATATTGTCTGTGTGCCCACTTAAAACCCAGAGATTGTATTGCTAAAATTAAAAATGGGAGGATGAATATTGGAAGGCAGTGACATTCTGTGTTATAATCACCATCTTTTGGCAGTTGCCATAAAAGTGGTTGAGTAGTTTTAAACTTAGATGTGACTATATAATCTGGAGTAAAATGGGTGACTGTGGAAACACAATTATATTTATGCATATTACACCCTATTTTATGCAATTTTGTATCCCTACCATCTGGCATAGTATACTACTAAAACACATAACAATATATTTGGAATAAATAACCATCCTTCTTTTCCTTTCTTGTACAATCTTTATTAGGTATGTATTCTTGTTTTTCACTTGCCATATATTTGTCCCTATCCATATTTCACTTCCCTTCTCAAAGGGGATTTAAGAGTAGACCTGATCATAGTTCATAGTATGATAGAGGAGTACTTTGGATCTCTGTGTTTAAGACTGATTTTAAAATCTAATAGGAATCTGAATTAACTTATAACAGCAAAGGACCAATTTTCCCTATTGCCAAACTGACAGTTTTAACTTCTTGTTATCATGTTCTAATTATCAATAGAGTGGCTGTATTCTTCTGATGTTTAGTACTGTGTCTGAGAATTCTGAAGATTTTTTAAAAATTGATACCCAAGGCCACTAGTTGGTTTGTGAAGATGTTTTCTCTGTACTTTATTTGTATGTTTTATGTATTGGCTAGCTATCCCTGGAGAAGATAAGGGAATCTGAGGAATAAAAGTGTTCCGACATTTTTTTTTTTTTTTGGTATCTCAGAATTAGCTATTCTACAGATATTTTGTTCATTTATCTTGTTTTTGGCTTTCTATTAATTTATAGATTCATTTGTTCTTGTGTTAATTTCTACTGCATATTTTGAATAACTCAGTTTTGCCCTCATGAGCTAAGGATGGCTGCTTCAGCTACTGGAACCACATTCACATTCCAGGTGTCAGGTGCCGCATTCAGTGTTGGGAACATGAATATACCTGAGACCTCGTCTGCACCTCACTCAGCTTAGCGTCAGTGAGTGCTGTGCCCGGCCCACACTGTGGGGTAACCGAGGGGGAAGCAAGGAGCTTGTGAGATGATGGGGGCAGGCGGGATGCCAACATGACTCACGTGAGTGTTGATCATTGAGAAATAATATGGAAATAGTTCCATTTGATGGGAGTGATGGATACTAAGTGTGAGTTAGAGATGCATCTGGAGAGCTGGATCATGGAGGACCCTTTCTACACCATGCAGAGGAGTGGGGACTTTATGTCCCCAGATCAGTGGCTTTCAAACCTTTTTGTCCATGACCCATAGTAATGCTGATGTTTTTACATGGTGACTTGTTACTAGGCCTGGGCCTAACATTTTCAGGGCCTGGGCAAAAGGACAAATGGTAGCATAGATACATACAGTATGGCTAATTATTTAAAACTCAAGGCAAAAAACTCTTAGAAAAAGGATATACTAACCTACCTTGACAAATATACCTTATAATGAAAAATTATACCAAATAACTGAGAGTAGTGCAAATTTAAAATCAATTTTTATTCCGCCAAAAGACTATGAATTTACCCTGAGGAAATGCCAGGGCAGTGGTAAATGGGCCAAGCTGGAGGAGGGGAGGGAAAGGCTCACTCAGCCTTCTCTTCCAATGGCCATGGAATCTGTAGATAAATACTTCCTTTCTCTTGGTATTTTTTCGGGGCGGGGCTCTTTCATTTCTGCCAGAGGCTCCTTCTTTACACCTAACAGTCAGGCATTGAGTTCCAAAGTGATCTAGTCCATGCCAATCAAGTCCAAGGACAACCTCTGGCCCCCAGGTGCTCTCAGCCACCCACCCTCACAGGAGGCTTTGCATTAAGAGTTCTCTGAGCAGGAATGTGAAGGAGTAGTGAGACAGCTGGCTTCTACCTTCTCTGCCACACCGTTATCCATTCCTCCAGGGCCAAAGGATCCCTTTAGCCCTCAGGTCCAGGCCCAAAGGATCACTTTAGCCCTCAGGTCCAGGCCCTGTCATTAGTGGACAACGTTTGGCCACTCCTTGGACTGGAGGTACACACATGCTAGTAGTACCACCTGACCTGAAGAAGGGGCCCATGTAGGTCAGAGAGGCTGCTTTAGGCCATTTGGGTAGAGAATGATGGCAACCTTGGTAGTCGGAGCTTCAGGTGGAAACAGGAACTCCTTGGCTGGTGGAAAAGAGTACAGGAAGAGGAAGGCCAGAGCAAAAGCTTCTTGCCCACCATTGGTCAATCTGAAGGGAGGGAGGACACTGGTTATGAGGCCTAAAGATGGTGAAAGTGAGGATAGAGAGGAGAGGAGGGAGGGAAATTCAACAGGTAGAATCCACAGGTGTTGATGACTAATTAGATACTGGGGGTGCAGAAGAAACCTAGAATAATGCCATGATTTCTGATGTGTGGCATTTAAGGCCACAGTGTGACATTCAGGTAATATTTTGTTTGTTATTTGGATATATGGGTCATGATATGGTGAAAGAAATGTTTTCGTTTGGATGGTTTGTTAAGATGCGAATTTCTAGGCCTCATCTACTAAATCAGAATCACCAGGAGAAGTCCTGGGAGCTTGCAGGTGAGCAAACTCCTGCGGTGATTTTGAGCCACATCTGTACCCTCGAGAGTGGGAACAGAGTTTCAGGTGGCCTGAGGGCTGAACTCTGGTGCTCACAGGAGGAGGAAGGGAAGTAGCAGACAGATACTGGAAAGAAGTGGGTAGACGTCGGATCAAAGAGAGAAGTCTAGTAAAGTTTAGTAAAGGACGGTGACAGGGCTTGTGCATTGAATGTGGGAAGCTTCTGATAAACTTTAGCAAAGGCAGATTGTAGTGGTTCAAGGAGTGAGTATGTTGGGAGATTAGGAAAGGGAGATAGATGATATAGGATGTAATCTATATGCTTCCCGCAAATTTGATTGTAAAGCCAGAAGAAAGAGGGATAACAAAGCAAGGCATAGATTTGAAGGAGGCCTTTAAAAACAATTCTGGAACACTTATATGATGAAGGGGAGAGGAACCTGTGGAGAACCAGATATTGAAGATATGGCAAAGAAAAGGAGTAATTGATACAGACTGGTTTCAAGGGAGAGGAGAGATGCATTTTAGGAGCCAGGAGGAGGGAAACTTAAGCAGAAGGAAGAACACTGTTGTCTTCTATACAGTTATGAAGGAGAAAGGGCATGCATAGATGCAAAAAATTATCCTGACAGACATTTGGACACAAACTGTAGGCACAGTTTAGGGGTTGTGGCTACAGAGGTTAATAAGGTATGGCTATAGTTTAGTGGGGGAGCTAGACAAGGAAATCAGCAAGATAACATGTGGCAAGTGTTGTTACAGTTGTACTAGGAGATGGTGGAAACACAGAGGAGGGCATGAGACAAGGCTTTGCAGAATTGGAGAGAGGGCAATATGTGTGTATTACATATTACACATATATGTGTATATATATGTAAAATATATTCACACATACATACACACAATCACACAATTATAAGCATCAGCTGAAACTTTATTTGGGAGGACTTCAGAAAATGAATGTTTATGACCAAGGAAGCTTCTTGCTTATCCTTCCCTTTCCCCCTTTGATGACTTTTCTTAAGGCTAATTTACGTACAGAAAGCCACTGCTTCCAAAAGTGCTTTGGTACCCTGGCATAATTTCAAAGAAATCTCCTTTCCCACTTAGTTAACTACATTTCATCAGGAAAAAAAGAGTCTTCTCTGTCAATGTAACATCCTTTAACAGAACTCCTGCTGGTTGGTTCTTGTATCTTGCTGTGGCAGCTGTGAACATATATACTATTGATTGTTGATGTGTGATATAAATCCGACTGCAGCATGCCCACTAATTGGTTTGAGAGCTAGATATAGACAATGCTGTTTTATAGTAGCTTGTGTAGATAGGCCTAGTCATAGGGTTAATTCTGCTTGACAGCACATCTGCAGCATCTTGAGAGCAATTACCTAACAGAAGTTTTCCCACAGCCAAACTGAGAGCTTCAAAGGCTTCTGAATTTACAACTAGTATTAACCAATATCTGAAACATAATGTTCCCACAAGAGCTCAGATTTTTTTTCTCCTTCTTATTAAATGTATGAGGTTACTAGGTTCATTTGCTGTGTGCTAAGAACTTAGTGAAAAGTTACTTGGTGTTGAATAATTTCAAATCTTGAATAATAAAGAGGATAATTATGAATTTGTTTTTTTACTGCTTTATTGTCCTACTAAAACAAGTTAATCTGTAAAATCAGATGCCTTTTAAAAAACATAGTTTATCCTGTTTCACTCAAAAGCCAATTTAAAAAGTTAATATCTTTTCTATATTGTGCCATCTGTATTGATGTTTGCATATTTAGAGGGTCTAGGGTAATGCCTGCATTTAAAATGGTTACGATACATATATATTTACATTTTAGAAATGTACACTGAAAAATGTACCTATTACCTCCCCTCCCTTCCCCCCGTGAAATAACTGTATTTTTACAAAGAGTTTTTATGTTATAATACATTTCTTTCTCTTTGCAGATCAGAAACCAAATTTGACTCCGGTTCAGGTATGTTTACATTAATAGTGCTATTCTAAATATATTTTATTACATTATTATCTGAGGAGCAATTAATCAGATCAAGAATCATTTTGATTTTAAACAGACTGGGAAGTCTCTTTTCAAAATGTGAGTCCCACCTGTTTTGAAGCAGGGCTATTGACTGCTTCAAATCATAATTTGAGATGTTCACTTTAGAGTCTTCATAGTTCTGCAATAAGCATTACATTCCCTATATCTGCAGAGTTTCATTTCAAAAGCAGAGGTGGGAGTTGTTCATTCTTACTGCTCAAAATAGATGATTATTTTCTCAGTGGACAAAGCATCCTGAGTAATTTGAAAATTCTCTTTAGCTTATCACCAAATGTGGGAGATGGATGCATTTAATTCAGCAAACTATAGAGAGTTCCAGCCAATAGAAATAGAAATTTGTCTATGATTTATTAGCTTGTTTTTCCTAAAAAAATGTTTTATTGCTAGATGGGCTATAGAAAATGAAGGTTACATTAAGCCATTATTTTGAATCTATTAGGACAAAATTTATATTCTCACAAGCAGCGGCATATCAGCTTCATTAGACATTTTCTTTTCATTAAGCATGAATGTAGCCATATAATTCTCAGGTTTGACTATGTTATTATGTCACTTGTTGAGATTTATGTACTTCCAAGTTTCTGATGGCATTTACAATTAAAAGACAAAAATTGCCTCATGTTTCATACAAAGGAATTATGTATGTCCTTTGGTAAACTGTTAACAGATAAATAAACATTAGTTTTTGAATTCCAGGAGAAAATATTTTACAAAAAATATGTAACTTGTTTAATTTAAAAGTAACATTTTTACTCTGGTTCAAGTTTCACTGTATTGTAACTTTAAAAATGTTTTTACTTACTATGTTCACAAAGGAACAATTATTATATATTCTTTTTGATAGTGGTGTTAAGGAGACAACACACTTTTTCTTTATAAGCTTTTCTTTCTTTTCTTATATGGTTTTGTGAATTTGGTGAGATTCATTAATTATGAAGCCTGTACATTTGAGTTAACAAATTCACCTAGTTTGAGAACCACGACTCCAAAAATCTTTCTATTCTGTGTCTTCTGCAGCTTCTGAATCAGATATATGAATGATAGTATAAAATAAACATTTTTAGTTGAAAACATTGACTATGTAGAGACTAAAGGTGGGATGGCATTGTATGAACTATTTGACTCATTGATTCACAAAGGACTCAAGATAAGGCCAAAAATCTTTTTCATTCTTTAACAGTTAAAATATTTACGTATAATTAAAAATAAATGAATAAAGTTGATGGAAAGTACATTTTTACATTAAAATTACATGTCTTTTTTTTTCTCTGCCAGTCACAAAATATTTATTAAGAACCACTTTTTTATGATCTGATGTAATTCCCTAAACATCAAGTGAGAAAGTGGTTTTAGGGTACAGGGTCTGGAATATAGCTCTTAAAAATGAGTAAGTCCACTCGGTTCATTTTGAAGGTAGAACCTGGAAATAATGTACAAGACTGAAATATTAGGCAGCTATTGTCAAAGTCAGATAATTTATGTTAACTTTTCAAATCCAAATTAAAGTGTGCTGCTAAATTCCTGTACTGAAGGTAAGTATTTATCATGAAAATAGTTATAACATCTGTACAGGCATACATCTTTCACTCTTGTGAGCAAAGATTTTGTGCATGATTTATTTTTTTTTTAAGTTCTTATTAAAAAAAAATCTGTCATGGACAACATCTGCCTGTCTTTGAAAACTACAAAGTTCTGTATGCTGAAAAGTTTTATAGGGGAATACTGATTAAAAGTTTATTCTTTTAATTTTAAACTTAAATAGATTGTGGAAAGAATTCAGATGTTTTCAAATTAAGAAATGGAATTATTTTTTCTTAATAAGCTCCTTTTAGCTTATGACTGAATGAAAAAATCATGACAAAGGAAGTTAGAAATATATTCTTTGGTATCCTATATCATGCAAATTTTGGTTAGAAGTAAGGTAGCATAGGGCCCTCCTTGGTGGCTCACATCTGTAATCCCAGCACTTTGGGAGGCTGAGGTAGGTGGATCACGAGGTCAGGAGATGGAGACCATCCCTGGCTAACACAGTGAAACCCTGTCTCTACTAAAAATACAAAACAACAACAACAACAAAATTAGCCTGGTGTGGTGGCACGTGCCTGTAGTCCCAGCTACTCAGAGGCTGAGGCAGGAGAATTGCTTGAACCCAGGAGGTGGAGGTTGCAGTGAGCAGAGATGTCGCCGACAGAGCAAGACTTCGACTCAAAAAAAAAGAAAAAGAAGGTAGCATATTGGAACAATTAAATGTGTGACTTTAATAGGTTCAGATTCTCTATTGTTCATCAAATACAAAAAGTAAACTAGGTCTGTTTAATGTTGTATACAGCTGTGACAAAGTAAGATTTTTAAATGAAGGAATATGCCAGTCTTACTGAAAAAGAAAAACATAAAAAATAAATACTATGGTCAGTGACTAGCCATAACAGAAAGGAATTGAAAGTCAAATTATATGTAAACACACACACACACACACTCACAAGTATATCAAGGAAAGTGCCCAACTTATGCAGAGCTTACTGCACAACATTTTTAGTTTGTGTAAATAAGTTTTAAGCTGTGGAGTGATATTCAGGAGGAAGGAAGGAAAGTTTTCATTGCCAGTGCATGGTAAAAAATTTCATTTGTTAGATGTATACCAAATGATTAACCTAGAAATTGATTTAAATTTTTTCTTATCAGAATTGCCTTATTTTTTTCTACAAAAGCAAATCCTCGAGCAACCTCTTTGTGCTTTTTGAATTAACAATTTTTGTATAATGAAAAAAATTCAACCATGTATAAAAGTACAATGTATAGTGTGATTAGCACCCATATAACCATCATCTAAATGTTACCTTTGTTAAATATTTGCCAAATTTGTTTTACCATTTTTCTTTTTTGCTTAAAATATTTTGAAGTAAAATACATATATTTCATGTGATTTTTAAAGTCTGGAAATTATAGATGGTCTTGACTTATCAAAAGGAGTCAATGTTTTGAGGTTTTCATATTTTAGGAATTTGAGTCGCATACAAATTATTGTGGAAAGGATTGTGGCATTTTCATGTCCACATCCAGCTGAAGACTCTGAAAGTTCTGTTTATGGTGAATTGCATAGGTAAGAAAACCTTCAACCAGAAGGCAGAGGACCTGAATTAATTTTGGCCTGAGAACTCCAGAAATTTTCTATTCTCAAAATTAATTTAATTAAAATGTTAGCTGCCATTTAGCTGTGGTCTCTGTACTGAGTAATATACTGATTAGAAACCTTTTCTGTTGATTTACAACTCAATCACCTTAAGTTTTTGGCTTTGCCAATTGAGAACAGTCAGCTTACCTTCTTTTCTAAAGGAGTTTTAAGGTTTCCATTTTCTACCTTTTCCCAGTCGATGTACTAATGTTGATTGCCTAGGATTGTGTGGAGTTGGTGATTTTACTAATAGAGTAAAACAGACTTCCTTTTATGTTCAGAAGTAGCAAGAATCTATACTCTTCTCCCCACCTCCCAAGAAGGGAAGTTAGTTGATGCTGGAGGAAGCAGAGCATTGAGTTTAATGTAGTGATTAAACATGAAAGTCATATATCAAATCTCAGGAGAAACATGCTTTTGAAAAAGGCAGAGAACTGTGGAGCATATTGCATGATAGGCTATATAAACAGAGCCCTGGAGGTCAGTGTGTGGATGCAAACCAATTAAATAAAAGAACTTACTGGCTTTGCTTTCTATCATCTGGATGGGGAGGATCACAAGTTAACATTCACAGGATGGAAGTGTAAACTTTGCTTAAATAAGCTAGGCACCTTTGGAAATTTCATTAACTCTTTCAGTCCACTGCTAACATACATATATTTTCAAAAACCAAAGTCCCTGGGAAGTTAAAAAAGATCCAAAATATGTGTTCTTTTGGCCCTCTGTACATACTCACTGGCAAAGGGTAATGAACTAGTAATGAGTAGGATGGAAGAAAAAGTGAGGAATGAGGGTAAAAAGACCAAGAATTGGCTCTGTTGCCAAATTTTGAGAGCGTGCATGTCTTTCAAAAACAACCCATCTGGAAAAGCAGAGCTCTTGAAGAATAACTGAAAAAAGGTGTTTTTCTCTTCTGAATTCTGGGTATAAGGATATAGGTAGAATTTACTAGTCACTAACATAACGTCAGGTATTGTTATTTCTGTTCTATTAAAGTAGAATAGCTTTCTGACCAAGAATAATCTAACTTATTTATAAGTTAATAACTGAATGTTAAGAACAGCTTGTACTATAATTCTGTGGTCCCAACCTTATCAAGCAATGTTTGGGTGAGAAAATGAAATACCATGTTAAATGGTATAGATTCATGGTCCATAAACATTCTAAACAAAGAATTTCTTTTCTATAGAGTCATGTTGGCTGAGAAAGTGAATAAGCTTATGTTTAGTGCTTGTTGATTCTGGGCCACTTGGAATAGCTATACTAAGGAAATGGGCTCATAGAACACAGCAACTCAAAGATATAAGATTTCATGAAAGCAAATTATGGAGGATTAAGAAACCTAATGAGCATGGTTTAGTGAGGGGAGTTGAGGAGGGAGCTCACTATTAAATAAAGCTGAGAGTGTAGAAGGTTAGGAGATCCTAAAAGACATGATTATAAAAGGCACAACAGAATATAATTATGCTGAAGGGGAGAAAAATTCAAGGAACAAAAAGCAGCTAGTGTCGCTTTTAGGATCTGTAGTTAAAAAGGAATCTACACCGGGATAAGGAAATCAAAGAACATAATCAGTTAAAGCTTGAGACAAAAACCTAAGGGCAGGGAAAAATAGAATGGGGCTGTTAAGGTGGTCACTAAGTTGAAGGGAAATGAGGAATTTGAATGCAGTAGAACTAGAGTTTTGAAAGCTTATTAACAAATGAGAGAATTTGCCAAACATAGTAAACTTTCCCCAGTAAATATTAATAAGGAAACTATTTTCAGTTTATGTAAGCATGAGAATGTGTTGATAATACTTTTTAGCTGTATAGTTCAGTTTCTTAATTTTAAATTTCTTATTTTAAACTCATAACATGGAAGAATAAGGAAATAAAATATAAATATTTCTAGAAGAATATTGAAATCTGCATCATTTATTAGTGGAAGTAAGAAAATATTGACTATTCATCTATTCATTCCTTCAACATATATTTACTGGACATATCATATGCCAGATGTTGAGTTTATAGCTGTGAACAGGGTGGATACAATTCCTTCTGTCGTGGAATCTTACACTGATTGGTTGGTCCATTACACAAATTCACATGAACTTACCTGCATACTTAACTGAGGAGGCCTAATAAGACTAAAACTTGAATCTAAATGGTGAGTCAAAGACCTCTTGATATTGAAACATAAGCCGATATATTTTAGATTTAGACAAATTCACCTTTGTTTACTTTATTCAAGCCATATTATTCTGTTTTACACAGATTTTTAAGAGAACAGCCTAATAATACTAATGGTTAGGGTGTAATTTTTCTGGAGTTTTCAATAAGAAGCAACATTTTCCATTGGATTATTATTTTAAAAATCAATTTAGAAGAGAACACAATGACAAATATTTGTGATTACTGTTCTATCCTTTGCTTTTGTTTATTTCTTTTACAGGATCCTATTCAAGTTAGCCTGAAAAATCAGGCAACCGTCTCTACAGAAATCTTTCCTGATTGAGTAGAAGCAAGTAGAGGGGATGTGGCTCTTCATCCCCTTTTATAAACTAACTTAACCATAAAGCAGCAAGGCATAGTGGCTAAGGTTTCATTTGTACCATTATGTCACATACTGACCTTTTGTGTTTTTTTCTTAGACTTAGAGCATTTAAAAGCTACGAATTTCCTTCATTGGAGCCTTAGCTGAATCCTAGAGTTTTAACATTTTATTTATTTTTATAATTTTTTTAGAGACAGGGTCTCATAACTCACCATAACCTTTAACTTCTGGGCTCAAGTGACCTCTTGCCTCTGTCTCCCAAGTAGCAGGGAAAACAGGTGCACACCAACATGCTGGGCTAATTTAAACATTTTTTTGTACAGATTGTATCTTGCCGTGTTGCCCAGGCTAGTCTCAAACTGCCAGCTTTAAGCAATCCTCCTGCCTCAGCCTCCCAGAGCACTAGGATTATGCATGAGCCACTGTGCACAGCCCAATATTATATTTTAAATAAATGCAGTTTTGATTTTCTTTTGGACATGATAGTTATTTAGTAAAGTGTTTTTTAAATTTCCAAATTTTCTACCTTCTACTTTTATTAATGTTTTTCAGTTATATTGCTTGGTAGTCAAAGAATTTGGCCTTACTACTTTTTAGAGAGTATTATTTCAGTACTTATTAAAGTTTTATTTTTGGGCCCTCCATGTGTTTAATTTTTGTGGCTTTTTTGTTTGAAAACTATATTCTCTGCAATGTAAAGTCTTTAATGGACATTTATTAGATCAACCTGATTTATGATCACTTATCCTTTGAATTATTATTTATTTGGTTTTGATTTTATCTGACAAGGATGGTAAAATGAGCGAGTTTGTCATTTGATTCTTTTTTAAAATAAATTCTACATCTTTAGATATCACCATCCCTGTGTTCTCAGCTCCACATACTCAATAAGTCTGGTGGCAGCCAATTTACTTGGATCATGCATTGTAGAGAACATTACTGCAAGCAATGCTCATAGCAGTGCTCCTCACAGAGAACATTACTGCAAAGCAATGCTCATAGAAATGAAGGCTGCTAAACTAACACAGGAATAGGAAACCAAACATCACATGTTCTCACTCAAGTGGGAGTTGAACAGTAAGAACACATGGACGCAGGGAGAGGAGCATCACACACCGGGGCCTGTCAGGGGGTGGGGTGTTAGGGGAAGGATAGCATTAGGAGAAATACATAATGTAGATGATGGGTTAATGGGTGCAGCTAACCACCATGGCACATGTATACCTATGTAACAGACCTGCACATTCTGCACATGTATCCAGAACTTAAAGTATATATTTAAAAAGGGAAAGGAATGAAGGCTGCTGTAAAGAGGAAACATGTTATTCCAAAGTCATATGTGAAGCAAGAAGTTGCTGCAAGTACCACCTGTAAATACCAGTGCTCTCCTCCTCCCTCATATCCTATAGCTTTATAAGGAAGGAGGCTCTGAGACTTTATATGATTCATATGTTCATTTTCTCTACTTACGGTTCTTCCCAACTCCATCTGTTTGGCAAGGTTCTATTTACCTCTTAATGCTTACCTCAAACATTACCATATCAATTAAACGTAGCCTTCCTTGACACCTTTCCAGCTGTCAGTCATCCATTTCTCTGTGCAAACGCTAGATCTTGTAGCACTTATCATCTGCAGCATATTATTTGTGTGGATCTTTTCTTTCTATCCAAGTCTGTGAATTTCTTGAAGGCAAGAGCCATGTCTCATTTACCTTTATAGTCTTGATATCTTTATTTTTTATTTTTTGAGATAGAGTCTTGCTCTGTCACACAGGCTGGAGTGCAGTGGCACAATCTTGGCTTGCTGCCTCCTGGGCTCAAGTGATTCTCCTGCCTTAGCCTCCTTAGTAGCTGGGATTACAGGTTCCCCTGCCACCCAACTATGCCAGGCTAATTTTTGTATTTTTAGTAGAGATGGAGGTTCACCATTTTGGCCAGGCTGGTCTCAAACTCCTGATTTGAAGTGAGTCATCCAACTCAGCCTCCCAAAGTGCTGGGATTACAGGTGTGTCACTGGGCCTGGCCTATAGTCTATATGTCTTACATGAGATAATTACTTAATAAATAAAAATTCCACGAAGTTGGACATTTTTGGTCTTTAATAGTAATAGAAACACATAACTAACGATGGAAGATTTATTCTCCCCTTTTATAGTGTTGAGTTGTTGCTGGGAAGTGGCTACTGGGCTAGAGTTGACAATTTCCAGGCCCTTTGCATCTATGTGGAGAAATGTAACTAAATTCTTGCAGTGAAATGTATATCATTTTTAGGTTAAGGGGATTTTAAGTAGCCGATATGCTTTCCCTATATCACTTTTCCTCTTCTGAGGTTAATTCATAGTTACATGTTGAACATGATGTCATCACAGTGTGGAAGGAGTTTGGATCCATACATCATGCTTGGAGGAGATTCATGCAGGAGAGCCATTCATCCTAGAATATCTTCATTTGACTTCATGTATTCTGAAATAATTTTTTAATGATAAGCCTCTGAGATTTTGCTATCACTTATTATAGCAGCTAGTGTTACTTACTCTGACTAGCCCAGTGCCTAGAGTAGTCCTTGGCAAAAAGTTATTTGCCTGTAATTATTATCTAGTGTTAAATATCCCTAGATATTTTTTGGACAAATGATTGAATGAGTGGTCAGAAATTACATTATCTAACCTGAAGATGATTCTTTAAACCAAGATTCATACAAAAATAAAATGCTATGTTCTATGTAGTCACCAAGCCTATCAGCTAGAGATTATCACAATAATGCAGTATAATAAGCTACCTCAGAAAGCAGTGATTTAAAACAATTATGATTTATTCATGTTTACATGTCTATGGGTTTGTTGGGTGGTAGCTGGCACATGCTAGCTGCAGGTTGGATCCAGGTCTGTTCCATACTTGTCACTGACGGTAGAAGATAAGAGGGCAAGCCCAACTATGCAAGCACATAATGATATGATTATATAACACCTTGAAAATGTAAAATGTAGTACAGATTTGTATATGGTTGTGATGTGGCTATTAGTAGACCGTTGAAAATGTTGCTGGCCACACACAAAACATAGCATTAATTGCCTTGGTGAATTTTTTGTGTCTAGTATCTGGCTGTTAATAATCAGGCTCAGAAAGCTAAGTGTTTCACTGTCTCTCAGGGGTGGACTCAAATGGACAAACCCAGAAGACTGATGGATGAAGCCAGAATGCCAGTGTGTTTCTTTATGACAAATGTGTTTTTCACTTGAGCGAGAATACTTACATCTTCATGATTACTTACTTCTTTTTTTGTAAGTAATCCAGTCACATGAGACAAAAAATCACAATAAAAATTCACTTGATCAGTTTACCAAAATAAATCATTAATATTGGGACTGAAATTTCCTTATTGTAACATATATCACCCTAAAGCTAGATCTCTGAGAAGTTGAATCATAATGGAGGATTCCTGTTGAGTACAGACTAAGAACAAAGAAAAACAAATTGAATGTTTAGTTTTATGAGTTTATGTTAACAATTATCTATCTCAAAATAGGAATGGTCTTGGATAGTGAGGTCTTTTATGACTTAAATTTAATTGGCCACAACTTCATTTATCTATTCATCCATCCATCCATCCATCCATCCATCTACCTATCCACCATCTGCCCATCCATCTATATAAAAGATAGCCTTGCTGTTGGACCTGGACAATATACTGCAAATTCATTGCCTAAGAGTGTTTCCACATTCAAAGAGCAGACCTTGAAAGCAATCATAAAGCTGACAATTTACAGTTTGAATGTTTCCTACCTTATCGAAAAAAATTAGAATTTCAGTGATTTAACAAACCACTTCAGTATATTTAAATTAACATATAGAACAAGGTTAGTATATAGATCAAGATATAGAACACTTTTTTTTTTTTTTTTTGCGATGGAGTTTCACTCTTGTTACCCAGGCTGGAGTGCAATGGCGTGATCTCGGCTTACTGCAACCTCTGCCTCCTGGGTTCAGGCAATTCTCCTGCCTCAGCCTCCTGAGAAGCTGGGATTACAGGCATGTGCCACCATGCCCAGCTAATTTTTTGCATTTTTAATAGAGACGGGGTTTCACCATGTTGGCCAAGATGGTCTTGATCTCTTGACCTCGAGATCCACCTGTCTCGGCCTCCCAAAGTCCTGGGATTACAGGCGTGAGCCACAGCGCCTGGTCTAAGACATAGAACACTTTCATCTGTTATGTTCTCTCATATCTTTCTTTAGTCCATCCCCACTCGTCAGAGGTAACCACTGTTCTGACTTCAGTCACCACAGATTAGATTTGCCTGTTCTTGAATTTCATATAAAATAGAAATTATATATATATAAAATATATATTATATAGTATATACTCTTTTTGTGTGTGATAGCTTTTGCTCCTCTGTGCTTGACCTTAAGGGGCTCTCTGTTTTAAATTATCTCTCATCTTTATTTTTATCATCTTTTTGAGGTTTATTCATATTATTTGTAGGAATCAGTAGTTATGACTGAATAGTATAAATTGGGAAGAATGTTTGGTCCAAATTTGGCTACAGTTGATGCAGTTGTATTTACTGAGCAGTCTTGGTTTCTAGTATTCTCAGGCCCAGAAGACTGTTATTAATATATTAAACCAGTATGTAGGCATTTTTCCTTTGACTTAGTGATCAGTCGTGATCAGTCAGTCAATTTGCATGTACTCTTAAATAGAGCACTTACTCTATTTAAAACATGGTGGAGGACGTATTAGTATGAGATAATTCCTACATTTGTGGAGCTTATAATCTAGTTAAAGAGATGAGATATGTATGCATGAAGATATCTGTAGGTTCAGGGCAATATGAATGGTTTCAGCAATGGAATCCTTGGAGAATTTAGAAGACATGAATTACATTAGGGTATGGCGATTGATTAAGGCAGTTCCATGGTAGAGGTAATACTGAGATATTCAAGGGTAGAATATGGGTAGATATAAATAAAGAGGGAGATAATTTAAAACAGAGAGCCCCTTAAGGTCAAGCACAGAGGCATAGGTGCTAAATGTATTTGAGGAACAGTAAGTAAACCAACTTGCCAGAACTGGAGTATTTTTGTTGGGGAGTCCTGGTATAGTTGGGAGTCTATTAGAGACCACAGGTTTGGCCAAGGTGGGTGGATCACCTGAGATCAGGAGTTCAAAACAGCCTGACTAACACGGTGAAACCCCATCTCTACTAAAAAATCCAAAAATTAGCTGGGCGTGGTGGCACATGCCTGTAGTCCCAACTACTCAGGAGGCTAAGGTGGGAGAATTGCTTGAACCTAGGAGGCGGAGGTTGCAGTGAGCCCAGATCATGCCACTGCACTCCAGCCTGGGTAACAGAGCGAGACCCTGTCTGAAAAAGAGAAAGAATTGTTACTTAACTCTGTGGCTAATAATAATAACAACAACAATGACAACAAAACGATTTTGAAATTGACTTTCTGCCTAATATGTAACAGGCACTGTACTAAGAGTTTAATACTTAATAACTCATCTAATTTGCATAGACCATACATTATTATTCCCGTTTTATAAATGAGTAGACCAAAACACAGGAAGTTTGGATATTTTGCCCAAGGTCACATAGCTAGTAAGTGACAGAACTGGGATTTGATCCTAAGTAGTCTGATTCCAGAGTCTTAACCAATATGCAGTCTAAAAACCTATAATATGAGTTGATGGGATGAAAACAATATTTTATGCATTTTTAGTCATACACCCTATTCCCACATTACATACTTGCTCACACAGTCACATGTAGTTGTAGAAATTTTCTCCCCCTCCAAATAGTTACTCAGATTCAGTAGTCTGTTGAGAAATGGATTTTGAAGGTAATATAAAAATTTTAATTAAAATAACATGGATTTATTCCTCCAGCATTAAATTGCCTGCTGAGAAAAGTATTCATGAAGGATTTATTACAAAGAAATGATAGAGGGAGAGTTAACTGGTTCTAGAGAATTTATAATAATTTGTTTTAGGCTAGGGCTCTATTTTTAACATAGATCAAAATTAACAATTCACTTTATACAGTTCACTATGGTTGACAGGAGGTCAAAGTACATATCTTATATTGGTAGATATTTATAGAATGGAATGAATCGGTGATCACGGTCACCTTCTTTGGGCAGTAGAACAAGGATATTTGGCTATTTATTATAATTGACATATCTTGCTCATTCCTGGGCAGAAATAAACTACATTCAACAGCAATGTGTAGAAAATGTTGCTGTAGCACATTAGCTGGTTGCAGGCTTAAGATTAACATCTTGCTCCAGTATGAAAATATTTATTTATTAAGAAACATGTACAAATGTAGTAAAACTATCCATTATTTGCTTATAATATCAAAATATTCTAGTTAAAATCTTTTAAAAAGATAATGACTTTTTAGTTCTTCTTATGTCTGAATACATTTTCCATTGAGTCTTTTCTATTACAGAACTATGCTAAGAACATTTTATAAGAGGTTCTTTTGATTTTTCGTTAATTTCCCAGGATAGGAATCAAAGATTAACAAATCAAAAATTAACAAATTTTGCTTAATAATCACTAGTCTTACTGAATTTTCAATATCTGTGTTTTAGATATTCAAATATTCCTTAATTAAGAACTTAAGTGGCCCTATGGCCTATTTTGCATTCCATGTTGCAAATTAGTAACCTTCTATTGTAGTTGTACTTTCCTTTTTGTTAATATTAAAGACATACTTAATTGATACATATTTAGGATGTATAATCGACATTATATTTTCACACAATAGCATGTAATAATGTTTGTTGAATAAGTGATAAGTGAATGAATGACATATGGAATTATGTTGTTTTGCCATTTTCAACCAATGTAGAATATTTACGCTAGTAAATATCATCCTTTTCTTCATAAAATGTGTGTATAGATTACCTTGCATCTTAATCATTCACATTGTGGATGGAAGGCCCTATGTAGATGGTAAGAGATAAAAAAGACAAGAAAATTTAATGACAACAAAAATATTTTGTGGCAGAACATAGGAACACAAAACAATGTAAAGATTCAAGTTTTATGGCCTATCAGTAGTTTTTCTACCAAAAATGGTAACTTTCAGGCTCCCCAGTCAATCAAATATAGACTTTGGATTTTTATCCTAACTTAGATTAAAATTTATTTATATGTTAGAATAGTCTATTAAAATTATTTTCCCCTGTGGTGTGATATACTAATAGTCAGTAAAATATGTTTTTACAGTGTGAATCAAAGTGGCATTAAAATTAATTTAAATTTGTACAATAGAATTATCTTTTTAGGAATTTGTTTAAATTTCTTGTATTTTGTAGCTTGTTTGATATCACTTTTTATCTGCATATTTTGCTTTTTAAATTACACTACACAGGTATTTATTCAATATATTTTTCATCATGACCACCTGTTTAGATAGCAGTATTCCTTGAAATGTTGTGATGATATGTGGCTTTTACTGATTTATTAGACGATTTGTTGGGACTTTTTCTGTTGTTTTAAGTAATGTACTAATATATTTTTTTTCTAGCTTTATGGTTTTTTTAAAATTTTTTCAGGGTTGTAGAAGAATACTTCATATCTAGAACTTAGAACTGCCTATAGGTTCCAGCATATATGTTATATACACACACCCCCACCACACACATGTATATATGTACATGTGTATATATACATGTATATATGTGTATAAATATGTATATATATGTGAATAAAAATTTCCTGCCAAAACATTTTAAAATTCAGGTTATTTATGAAGAAATATAGTTTTTTTTCAAATGTTTTCTTTGTTAAATTAGTATGGATTTTATGCAATTTAAGAGTTTTATTAATAGCAAATACAGTTATGTTAAATATGGAAGCCACTTCCTAGAACTATATATAGTTGATTTTTTTTGTTAAAATGATACAAATTTTTATGACCAAATCTACAAATTAAAAAAATTTTAAGTCAAAATGAATGTGATTTCATTAATTTTTAATTTTAATTTACCCATGTTCAAGTTCACAAATGTTTGCTGGTCACACACTCTGAGCTTTGTGCATTGCCTTGAACAAGCTAGTTGTAAATTATTGTAGAATAATGTAGTATCTAGCAGAAATAATTCTTGGCATAGAAATATGCTAATGGTAGGATAGTCTTTTATGATTGTGATAAGTATGAAAGAAGATTGTCTCTTTCTGAAGCCTGTTTATTTTGTAGTTAACAAGGCCAGGGGAGGCTTTTGATTATTTTTTGCTTGTGTGCCTACACATACCTAAGGAAAAAATAACCACAGATCCCAGTGTCACTTTAATTATACCATTAATTTAACTGTTGATTCAATAGCTATTTACTGCTCACAATATTTTAGTATTTGTAAACTTCTTGGTGGTATAGGTAACAATAAAGTAATGATAAATGGATATTTTTATCTAAAGTAGGAAATCACATAAATGAACAAAGATGCATTGTTAGTAGATTTTTTGTTTTTTAGTTGGAGTCTCACTCTGTTGCCTGGCTGGAGTGCAGTTGGCACAGTCTCGGCTCACTGCAACCTCCGCCTCCCTGGCTCAAGTGATTCTCCTGCCTCAGCCTCCCAAGTAGCTGGGATTATAGGCATGTGCCACCATGCCTGGCTAATTTTTGTAGTTTTAGTAGAGATGGGGTTTCACCATGTTGGCCAGGCTGGTCTTAAACTCCTGACCTCAGGTGATTCACCCTCGGCCTCCCAAAGTGCTGGAGTGAGCCACCATGCTCGGCCAAATTATTTTAAATGTAGAGATATGCTGCTGCTCAATAGCAACAAGCTTTATCATTTACTATACATGGCTATATATTTTGAGGGAAATGTTTAAAGACAGATTACATTCTTAAATGTGATTAAATGTAATTTCTATTTTGTAATCAGCTTTAAAGGAAATAATATTGTATGCATTTTCAAAGTAATTTGTTCTATACAAATTCAAAGGACATTATGCCTTTTATAAAAATTATGTCATATAAAATATTGGTAGGAAATTACTTTTCTATTTTATTCTTACTGCTAGATTTAATAATTTTCTTCTTTTGGCATGATTTTTCTAAAGATATTTTTCAATTCATGTGAATTTTGTTATCTATTATGTGTCACCATACAAGTAATGGGTCTATGTAACAAAAAGATGAAAGCCTCTATATTTATCTGTTATCTACATTTGTTACTAAGAGTTAACTGGATGGCTTTACATAGGATGATCGGAAACAGGAAAGCTGTGGTTTAGAAAATGTTTTAATGTGTTTCAAATAACTTAGCAGGGCAATCTGGTAAAAATGACATGATTAATGACTACAGAAGATTAAAATATTTTCACATTCTGTTTTTAATGACCTCTATCTTAAGTTTCTACCCTAAAATTTATAACTAGTAAAATATTATAGGAAAAATATATCATTCATAATCCTCTTGAAGTTCTGTTTTGCCTTATCAAATTGTGCCTTCTTTTTAGCCAAAAATAGCATAAATTTAAAATAAATTTTAACTGAAATGTAGCTTTTGTGCTATTCTTAAATACACTCATTAAAGTGTTAATATTTACTAGGTTTAACATAAAAGATCTAAGATTATGTTTTCAATTAGGGTAACACTTCAATCAATGTGTAACTTTAAAAAATTTATACATACATCTAGGCAGATCTTCATCACTTGGAAATAGGCCATTTTAGAAGGTTTAACTATAAATGTTTCCTATGTACATAAATAGGTGGCAAGTATAACTATTAATGTTGGAGTTTTGCCCATTGATTCTAGTGGCTCTGTCTTTTTTATCCAAAGATAATGATGTGTATTCAATCTCTGTCATATTTACCTAGAGGAAGTCTTTTTAATCCCTCATTTTTCTCCTTCACTGAGGTTATGTGTAAATACTACATAAAATACCAAATGGAAGGAAGTCTGTTTTGTCTAAAGATACCATTCATCTTAAACAAATACATCAGCCTGTCTCTGAAAGGATAGTGATACGGGTTTTATTTGGTCGGAGAAGGAGGAGGATGGATAAGACCAAAGCAAAAATACGTGGTAAATTGCCACGTATTTTTGCTTTGAAAATTGGATACATTTTTCTGATTGTTTCTGCTTAGGGGAATCACTTCAACCCCACCTGACATTGTTTCAGCACTTCTTAATTTTCATTACTATTTGCATATTTATTCATTCCTATGTTCATATTTGTGAAAACTTGTGTTGATTTCTAACAGAAATCTGAAGCTAATCTTTAATTAGATATCTTATAGCACCATTTTCTGGAAAGCTATATATATATGAATTTATAATTCCAGTATGGGAAAAAGAATGTGTTAACTTCTCCTAATTATATCTGTTTCCTATTTTAATTATTTCTGAATTTAAAACTCCACAAAATTAAATAAAATAGTTTTATTTAACTTGCTACACTGTGAATTCTTTTGGGATAGAGGCCCTGTTAAATTCATCTGTTATATTTATCCCTGGCACTAAAAAAAATCAAAATGAATTTTAATTGCTTATATTTGATTACTTATATTTATTGTGAAAACGAATATATTTGATGTTACTTCTGTCATCTTGTTTCCTCTTTATTATGCTTCCTTGTAATTGTTTTCTTTCCTTTAGTTGGATTAATTAAAAGTTTGGCCCTTTTAAGAAAACTTCTAGTTGTGAGTTATACACACTATTTCTATTTATTCTGTCTACCATCTAATTTTAATGAGCATAATTCACCTTATATTTTTTTCTGTTAATATTGGGAATTAATTAATATCTATAACGTCCTTCCCTTTATTTCAGTATGAGAACTTTAGTATATTTTAAATTTGCCTCTGACTCCTGCATGTTTCCCATTGTGCCTCTACTTACATAAAAATCATGTTTTAAGAATTCCATTAAGCATTATAGCCTCATGTTGACTCCTGTTTAAACTTAACTATTTAAACTATTTAATTTTACCTATTTATTTACTCATTATTGTTTCTTGTGTCCTGTCTTTGCCTTTTTAAAACTCATTTTTCATTGTGCTGTAGTACTTCTTTGAATATTTTTTCAGAAATGGTTTTAGATAGCAAATATCTGGATTATTTTACATTTAGATTGTTTATTCACACCTCTCATGATATCAAAAAGGATTAGAGGCAGAAGACACATCATTACACATGTATTCTTCAAGAGTAGTAATTGGTAAAGAGAACTTATATGATTCTAGGATTTTTATGTGTGCTTCCATTAAGGGTGGACTCTTTTCTTTTGAATGATAAACTTTTTCACAGGTATAATTTGAATTTAGTTTTCATAACTCATTTTCTAAAGTTTTTATCTTGGAGAAAAGAAGGAATTTGTTAGGTATCATTCTATTAAAAATACACTTAAACAATACTTCATAAGCTTCTTTTCTATGCAACACATATCCAATATTGGGAAGAAACATATTAAATAACTATCTGGTTTAGCATATTAAGATATGCATTTCTTAATGTTGTAGTTTAAATTTGGACTTGATAATTCTTGTTTTTCTCTAAGAGTAGTATCTTTAAATTAAATACATACAAATTAAATTTTAAAGAAATAGTATCATTTTTTTTTTTTTGGCTGGGGAAGCATGAGCCAAAAATGTTGGCTTTATTACTTTTATGGTTATTACATATTGTACCAAAATGCAAAGAAGATTAGAAGGCATACACCAAAATGCCAGTAGATATGAACTCAGTGTGATCAGATTATAACTTTTTTCTATCATCTTTGATTAAATCAAAATATACATTGCATCAATTTTTAAATATCATTACCATTTTTGGATACTTAGTTAACAATATGTTAGACCAATTTAAGGGATGATACAATTTTATTTTTCACAAAGATTAATGTACAGAGACCTTTCAATGTCAGTTTTGTCATAAGTGAAAGAATAGAACTATCGGTTACACAGATAAATGTGCCTTTAATATAGACTATATTTCCTGATATTTCTTGGTCTTATCTCATTATTTCAGTTCTGAGTTTATTTATGTAAGGCTGTTGTAGAGCTAATGGGTGACAGGATTACAGTACAACAACAGTATCTTATTTTAAAAGCACTCAAGGAGCTAAGTTTGACACAACAAGGAATACAGTTTGGGAATAAAAGGCAATGAACAAGGGAAAATAAAAAAAAATGAATAAATATAAAATCAATGAAAATAATAGTTAAGAGTCTACACATTTTTATGACTCTTAAGTTTTACTGTGAAATAGCTTTCCAGAAAAATTGTGCCAATTTCTGTTCTCATCAGCTGTGTGTAGTATATTTTTGTCCCCCTGGACACACTGACAATCTCTTGAGTGTGACTATTTCCTATTATCTTCCCAGCTCTGAATACTTCGATCTGTATTTTCTTTACCTATCTGATAGGTAAAAAGTAGAATCTCATTATTTTAACCTGCATTTTTTATGACAAGGGAGGTTGAATATTTTTATTCTTATGTACATTGGCAGTTTATAATTCCTTTGTGAATTGCTTATTAACTTTTTTTTCTTTGGTGAGTCTGGAAATAAGAGCAGACCTTGAGTCAGAGAGACCATCATTTGGATCCTGGCTCTGTCTTTTAAGCACTGTGTAATTTGGGGCAAGTAATATAAATTCTCTAAGCTTCAGTTTCCTAATTTGTAAAACAATATTTATAATTATAATACCTACCTCAATGTTATGAGAATTAAATAAAATAACATGTAGTTAAGTCACTTACCAAAGTGCTTGGCATACATTAAGATGCTGCTGCCGATAAAACATAAAGCTGGAAATATTTGCCCAGTTAGTTGCTTAAGATTTTTTTTCTACAAAAATTAAAAATATTGTAGTTAGCGTATGTCAGTCTTTTCTTTGTTTTATAGTATTTACTTTGGGTTTCTACTAAGAAAATTGTTCTTCACGCCCAAGAGTATAAAAATATGATGAAAGTATTTTTGAATGTAACTGAGTTCAAAATAGAATCATCAATTTTAGTTATTCACACTAAGAAAGAAACTAATAATTCTATAATTTTTTGGCTGGGCACGGTGGCTAAAGCCTGTAATCCCAGCACTTTGGGAGGCCAAGGCGGGTGGATCACAAGGTCAAGAGATTAAGACCATCCAGGTCAACATGGTGAAACCCCATCTCTACTAAAAATAGAAAAAATTAGCTGGGCATGATGGCACGTGCCTGTAATTCCAGCTACTCGGGAGGCCGAGGCAGGAAAATTGCCCGAACCCAGGAGGCAGAGGTTGCGGTGAGCCGAGATCGCGCCATTGCACTCCAGCCTGGGTAACAAGAGCGAAACTCCGTCTCAAAAAATAAAATAAAATAATAAAATTCTATAATTTTTCTATTTATTTCAGAAAATATTAGCATTCACTGTTGTTGAAGAAATCCAGAAACATTAGTTCACATATTTAACCAGTTTTTAAAAAATGTTTTAAGACTGACAATAAATTCCCCTGGATTATTTGTATATTTAGGAAGAGTCTCTGTTATTCTCTGCAGTATTTTTGTGTCCACTAGCGAATGACGTTGTGCTTGGGCCAATGAATTAGAAAAAGGGTCCCCTCATTCCGCCCCCACACCCTCACCCACACTGCAGTTAAATGACTCCTGTGGGTCAAGGCAGGTACACAGCCCTGGGAGTGAGGGGAACAGGAGCTGGAGTTCAGCTCCCACTTGTTTCTTCACCAGGTTCCTTGTGTACTGCCCAGAGTGCACCACTTTATAAGATGGGCCTGTGTTCTCAAAATTGTTCTTGTAATAATTTGAGAAATGAATGATTATTTTATCTAAACCCACTTGTGTAATTCAACTGAACTGAGCAGCATTTTATCCAGGCAGTTTTATAAAAGAAAAAAAGCTGGATGCAGTGCCTCATGCCTGTAATCCTAGCATTTTGGGGGCCTGAGGAGGGCAGATGGCTTGAGCCTAGGAGTTCAAAACCAGCCTGGGCAACATAGCGAGACCCTGTCTCTCTGAGAAAATATAAAAGTTAACGAGGAATGGTGGTGTGTGCCTGTAGTCCTAGTTACTCAGAAGGCCAAGGTGGGAGGATCACCTGAGCCCAGGGAGGTCAAGGCTGCAGCGAGCCATGATCATACGCTGTACTCTAGCCTGGGTGACAGAGTGAGAACCTGTCGAAAGAAAATAAAAAAGAAGAGAAGAGAAAAGAAAAGCTTTTAATTTGAAAATTGTGAGCAAAAAATAAGATAGAACTTTATCTTTAGAGGGGTACAAATCATGCCCCCCTCTTTTCTTCTATCTTGTTTATTAATCCATGAGCACTTAAGGGATGGCTTCTTCCTCCCGTATATAATGATGTTAATGACACATCTGGGGCCATGCCCTTTTGCATGTTTTCCTTGTTATGGGTAAATTGATCAGCATTGTGTGGAGTATCCAGCAAAATGTGCTCTGCAGAAGTCTCACACTCCAACTGTACTTAACCCATCCTGTGGTTCTCCTCTCTTCTGCCCTTATATTACCCCAAAGCTTCCTACCCATGATTCTTTCTTACTATCCTCACAGTCATTTCTACTGTGCTCTTTAGAGCTGTGATTCCATTGTAAATACATTTTTTTTACTCAAATCTCTTCACAAAATGTTTTCTTCATTTTTTTCTTTAATTAAGACTTGTCTCTCTCCCAAGGTTCCTCTTGCAGCTGCAAGAATAGAGGCAATAACTCTTCATTACCTCCTTCAGAGCCTCACTTTTCCTTTCTCATGTAAGAACTCCTTATACAGCCACTTGTTAACTTTCATTATTGCTGTGATTTATTAGCTCCCTGGTAATGCCCTGCATTTATTGAGGATTTCAGTTTTCCACTCTAATTCTTACTCTCCTCATGTGTGATTTCAGTGACCATGTGGACAGTTCAATCAATAACTGAGTTTCTTCAGCCTCCAAGTCCTGACCCTTTCCCTTTCTTCCCAGTCTGTTGTGTACTTCCTCATTTTACTTCTCTCCCATCCATCCTAGACTCTATGGTGACCATTTTGCCACTTTTGCCAGTGCCCTCTGGGTCCAGGATTTGTTTTCCTTGTGTTAAATTCCCCAGAAAAATCTTCAACCATCTGCTTTCAGTTGTAGCTCCTTCACACAGGCTGCATTGCCCTGCTGGAGGAAAGAGTATAATTATGGGATAATTGCCACTAGAGATTTATGGTCTTCAATTTCAGGGTGCCTCTTGGCAGTATTCTGCAGTCTTTCTGTGTCTTTATCACTTGTCTCAAATCCCCTTTTCTACCACCGTTTTCTTTTTGAGCAATCATCTTGCCTCCTGTTTGATAGAGAAATTTAAGGCTATGAAGCTTGAGCCTTTCTTTCCTGAAACTAATGAACGCTTATATCCACACTGAACCTCTTTCCTATATGGTTGGAGGAAGAGATGTCCTTTTTTCTAGTTCCAAGTAGTCCCCTCAATTCTCTCCTATGGGATGTTACTCCATCAGTCATTTACTCTAATTCCTGAAACTCTTTGGTTCTGCTTACTTCTTCCCCACAGTCTGAAGATAAACTCAAGCCATCCTGTCTTAAAAAGAAAGTAAAAAACCCCAAACACAACTTTTTCAGCTTTGTCCTCTTCTAACTCTTATCTCTTCTTTCCGCTGGAATGAAATTTCTTTCTCAGTACACCATGCTGTTTGTATTTTCTTTTATTCATAGGAATAACCTAATTTAAAAAAAGAACAAAGGAGAGCTGAAGAATTACTAAAGGCCAATAAGCATTTGCAAAAGTTTAACCTCACTATTCATTATAGAAATGCAAATTGGATCAACTATAATTTTTATTACTCAAAAATTAGGGCTTTAAGAGTATGGGGAGATGTTTACTGTCAAATATTACTAATGGGAATATAAATTGACACAATCTTTCTGAAAAGCAATTTAGTAATTGTTTAACCCTGTAATTCCACTTTAGGAGACTGTGAAGAAAATATTCAGAGATAAATGTGAAAGAATATTCATGGAACATTATTTATTGTGGCAAAACAACCCTTAAGAACCTAAATGTCCAATAACAGGGGCAGGCCAGATACCACACTCTCAACATGGAAAAAAATCCAAAAGGAAATACACTAAAATGTTAATGAGAGTTATTTCATTGTGATAAGATTACAGTTGATTTATTATCTTTCTTATAGTTTCCTATGATTTTCTAGTTTAATTTAAAAGAATATGTATTCAGAAAGACAAAAGTTATACATATTAATTCCTAATCCTTCTACCCACACTGTCTTTGCCATAGAGTAGGAATTTTTGTAAAATGGTGTTTGTATGTCCATAAGCTTTCAGTATGTTCCAGTTGTTTTTAAATTTTCTTTTATAAAGTATTGATGTTCATGATGAAAAGGAGACGGAACATGATTTGCATAGAGTTTTCCATTAAGTGTTTGAACAGTAGGAACGTGTTGACCTGTACAGAATGTTAGAGGAGGGAAAAGAGGAACTCTTCAGTGAATGGCAGGGTGCAAGCATTAAAGGAGAAGGAAGAGAACCAACCAGAAACAAAGGAACCAATCATCTCAAGCTAAGAGGGGGTAGATTTACTTCAACACTGGGTAGATTGTCTCATAATATTTTCACTGAATATAAGACTAACAGCGAAACATATTTAAGTTAAAAGTAAAGATGAGTTGGATTCCCAGAAAATGTGAGAAAGTGATTAGTGACAGGAGTGTACTTCTCTTCAGAGGCCAGAAGCTGCTGCTGTTGGTTAAATAGAGATATCTAGGATATTTGTTTCTGGTTGTAGACTTTTAATTTCTGACTTTACAGATGTAGACTGAAACTTATCATGTGGGTCCCCTGGCTCTGTTTATTTGTTCATAATTTATATTCATACAAGTAATACTGTCATATCAAATAATGGCCAGTATGTATGTGATAAACAGAATGTTCTCAAAAAGGTGAATAGCTTGTTTTTCAAAAGTTCATTTGTAAATTGGTTGTTTCGGACTTAGAATATATTTTACTATAGGAACAATACAACAGAAAAATTAGATTTTAAGGCTAGTTCACTAAGTATTTTTAACTTATAATGTACTTAAAGAGGAAGCCAGAGTGCTGGAAGAGTTATCAATATAATTGTTGAAGTTGTAGAGGATCATGAAAAATTGGATTAGAAAAAGAAAATTTGAGCCAAGTGCTAAAAGAAAATGGGATAGTATCCCAGGAATTCACAGATGGAGGGGAGAAGAGGATAATTGAAGACTTCGAAAGTAGAGTTTCTTGAATGATAAAACTCTAAAGGGCCTGATTTTCCTGCTACTGTAGTACTATGACATGCAGCTGGAATTGTTAGTATTTACACTCACTTTAAGCCAAACCCTAACTTTTGTTACCAGGTCAAATTGCATTTAGAGTAGTTTTTCTGAATCTTAGCCACACATAAAAACAGAGATGCCTGGGCCCATACTAGACCAATCAACTCAAAGTCTCTGCTGCCGGATCCCAGGCACTGGCATTGTTTTAAAAGCTCCCTGGATAAGTCTAATGTGCATGTAGAAGGAGGGTGAACTGCCGGTCATTGTTAGAAGTATTCATAAATAAATTACACAGGGTAGAAGTAATGGGTGTCTATTTTTTCTACCATCTTACCTCTGCATCTACCATACTTCTTGATTATTAATAGAAATTCAATGAATATTTGCTTAATAAAAGAGTAAATCAAGGAAAGAGGAATGAATGGATTTATCTGGCTCTAATCCCACGTATTATAGTTCAGCATTAGGGCACAATTTATGGCTAGTCGTTTACTGACTGTGTCTCAATTCATAGAACTGGTCTTTTGTCTGATTCCCAAGTAATACCTTTGGTACCCCAATTCATTCCTTCCTGCTTGGTTACTGTTTCTCAGTCATTGTTGTCAGGAACCTGCCATGAACTGCTTTCCTCTCAAGTCAGACTCACTTTCTAAGATCCAGAATGTTGTCCCTGAATTTCAGCCAAATAGCTGAGAGCCTGTAAATTTGGCTGACATTTTGACTTCTTCAGTATTACTTTCTCTAAGATTCCTCAAGAGTGTGTTCTGTTTCTTCCATTTCATACTCCCTCTTGTTGATTTGTTGCTCTGGAACTGATTGTAGTTGTAAATGCACAGAAAGACTTCCATTGTTCAGTAAGGTTACTTAATTATTATTCATACAGTTTTCTTCCCCATTTTTTACCTTTATTTTTTGTATTGAAAGATGTACATTAACAGCTTCCACAATATTTGAGGATTACATAGTTTCTTAGTATTTTAGAGAATTTTTGTTAAATATAGCTTACTGCTCTATAGTAAATAAAAATCCTTTAGTATTATATCTTGTGAATTATTACTTTCTATTAAAAATATCATTTTTTAATTTCAGTCACTGTTTTTGGAATTGATTTTTTTTGTCTGATAGTAATTGTACTATCCCTGTTTTCCTTGTGTAGTATGCATTTATCTTTGCTATTGTCTTATATTTGACCATCTTTTTGTCACTTACATTTATGTATGCCTCTTAGAAATATAATATAGCTGAATTTTCATTTTTACTTTTTACCCATTATGAGAATATTTATTTTCAAATTGAATGCCTACCATCTTATTTTATGGTTTCCGTTTACTATTCTTGTTTTGTATATATATATGTATATTTACCTCTTCCAAAAAATGGAAGAGAAAGAAACACATCCCAACTCATTCTACAGGGTCACTATGACCCTGACGGCAAATCCAGACAATGGTAACAAGAAAAGAAAACTATATATCAGTGTCTTTTATGAATACATACACAAATATTTGTATATGTATATATGTATTTACAGGTAAATATGTATGTCCTTTTCAAAGGACATACACACATATAATGCAAATATTATAAAATACAGAAAACCTCCTATAATCCTATGACTAGTTGATGTGTGAGAATGGATGTGTGTGTACTTCTAGATTCTTAAAAAAGTTTTTTAATAAAAATGAATTTATCTTGAGTATATTGCTTTGTAACCTGCTCAATATTATGCCACTAAATATTTATCCATAATATCTCTTTATGGCTTTAAAATACATTTTAATACAAGGTATTTGTAAATAAGTAAGATAAATCATTCTGTACTCTAAGTAGGAATAATACAAAGTATTTATTTATAAGTAAGATAAATTATTCTGTACTCTGACTAAGTAGGAATATGTAGACTGGTGGAAAGATTATCTAGTTACTGAATTATATATGGAATATGAAACCATTTATGTAAAACATGTTTGTATGTATGCATGCATATATATGAATTAGATGCATCTATGTGCTTACATATATATATTGAAGACTTCTTTATGCTTGAATTTTAACTTTATTTAAAGCATGTTTTGCTTGAATTTTTAGAATTGAAGATATACTTATGTATTACTTATGTAATAAAAAATAAAACTAACACATTCATTTAAAATATTCAAGCAAATACCAGCACATTAGATAGCTTAGATAAAATGAACAAATTCTTAGAAAGATAGAAGCTACTGAAATTGACTTGAGAAATAGCATATACTTGTAACTGAATAGACAAGTAAAGAGATTAAATTGGTGCTCAAAAAACTACCCACAAAAACAAGTCTCAGCCAGGATCACCTCACTGATAAATTATATGAAATATTTAAAGAAGAATTAATAGCAATTATTCACAACTCTTGCAAAAAATAGAAGAGGAGGGAACATGTTCCAACTCATTCTACAAGGTCACTATGACCCTGATGGCCAATCCAGACAATGATCACAAGAAAAGAAAACCATAAATCAATATCTTTTATGAATATATACACAAAATTCTCAACAAAATACTAGCAAACCAAATACAGCAACACATAAAATGTAGCCAAGTGTGATTTATCTTAGGAATGCAAGATTGGTTTGATACTGAATAATCTATTAATGTAATAAGCTACCAAAATAATAAAGGTGACACAGAAAAAATATTTGACAAAATATGACAGACTTTCATAATAAATACACTCAACAAACTAGGAGTAGAAAAAAACTTCCTAAATTTGATAAAGGACACATGAAAACTCACAGCTAATGCCATATTTAATGGTGAAAAGACAGAATGCGTTCCCCAAAGCAAGAGTGCCTGTTTTCACCATTTCTATTCAGCATTTTGCTGGTGGTTCTAGCCAATTAGGCCAAAAAAGAAAATGGAAAAATAAAATAAAATAAAAGGCATGCAGATTGGAAAGGAGTGAGTAAAACTATCTCTATTTAAAGATGATATGATCTTGTATAAAGAAAATCCTAGCTGGGTGTTGTGGATCACACCTGTAATCCGAGCACATTGGGAGGCCGAGGCGGGTGGATCACCAAGGTCAGGAGTTTGTGATCAGCCTGACAGTGATACTCTGTCACTACTAAAAATACAAGATTAGTCAGATGTGGTGGTAAGCACCTGTAATCCCCGTTACTGAGGAGGCTGAGGCAGGAGAATCACTTGAATCTGGGAGGCAGAGGTTGCAGTGATCCAAAATCGTATCACTAGCCAAAATTGCAACCATGCAGCAGCCTGGGTGGCATTCCTTCATCTCAAAAAAAAAAAAAAAAAAGTCCTAAGGAATCCAGTAAAAATCTAGTAGAACTAATAACAAGTTCATCAGGGTTGCAGAGTAAAAGATCAATATACAAAATCAATTGTATTTCTGGAGGAGATTGTAGACAATATGTGTCATTAATTTCTCAAATTTGTGGTAGAATTCACCTGTGAATCCATATAGACCTGGTGCTTTCCATGTTGTAAGGTTACTAAATATTGATTCAATGTCTTTAATAGATATAAACCTGTTCTGATTATCTGTTTCTTCTTATGTTAGATAATCTAACAGATAGATTATATCTGTTAAGGAGTTTGTTCATTTTATCTAGATTATCAAATTTGTGGATATAGAATTGTTCATAATATTATCTTATTATCCTGATAATGTCCATGGGATCAATAGTGATTACCCCTTTTTCATTTCTGATTTTAGTAATTTGTCCTTCTCTCATTGTTTCTTAGTTAACCTAGCTAGAGGATTATCAATATTATTGATCTCTTCAAAGACCCTACTTTTGGTTTTACTGATTTTCTCTATTGATTTCCTATTTCTAATTACATTGCTTTCTGCTCTAATTTTTATTTTTTCTTTTGTTTGCTGAAGATTATTTGCACTTCCTTCTTTAGTTTCCTAAGATGGAAGCTTAAATGATTGATTATAGGCATTTCTTTTTTTCTAATATACGTATTCAGTGCTATAATTTTCCTATAAGCACAGCTTTCACTGCATCCAACATATTTTGATAAGTTGTATTTTCATTCTCATTTGGTTCTAAATATTTTTAACTTCACTTGTGTTTTCTTCTTTGATCAATGTGTCATTTAGAAGTATGTTGTTTAATCTCCAAGCATTTTCAGATATTCCAGCTATCTTTCTGTTATTGTTTTCTACTTTAATTCTGTTGTTGCTTGAGAGCAGACATTGTATTATTTTTATTTTTTAAAATTAGTTACCATGTGTTTTATGGGTCAGGTGCAGTGGCTCATGCCTATATTCCCAACCCTTAGGGAGGCTGAGGTGGTTGGATCACCTGAGGTCAGGAGTCCAAAACCAGCCTGACCAACATGGTGAAACCTGTCTCTACTAAAAATACAAAAATTTGCTGGGTGCGGTGGAGCATGCCTATAATCCCAGCTACTCAGGAGGTGGAGGCAGGAGAATTTCCTGAACCCAGGAAGCAGAGGTTTCAGTAAGCTGAGATCATGCCATTCCACTCCAGCCTGGGCAATAGGAGCAAAATTCCATCTCAAGAAATGAAAAAAGCTAAGATATGTTTTATGACCCAGATGTGGTCTATTTTGGTAAATATTTCATCTTAAGTAGACTGTGTATTCTACTGTTGTTGAATAAAGTAAGCTATAGATGTTCATTATATCCAGTTGATTGATGGTGGTGTTGAGTTCGACTATTTCCGTACTGATTTTCTACCTGCAGGATCTGTCCATTTCTACTAGAGGGGTGTTGAAGTCTCTAACTACAATAATGCATTTGTCTGTTTCTCTTTGAAGTTCTGTCAGTTTTTGTCTCATGTATTTTGATGCTCTGTTGTTAGGTGCACACATATTAAGGATTGTTATGTCCTCTTGGAGCATTGATCCCTTTATAATTGTATAGTTCCCCTCTAATCCATGATAATTTTTTTTGTCCTGAAGTTCACTCTGTCTAAAATTAATATAACTACTCCAGCTTTCTTTTGATTGTTGCCAGCATGATATGTGTTTCTTCATTCCTTTCGTTTTTATCTGTATCTCTTGTCATATTAAAAGTGGGTTTCTTGTAGACAGCATATATCTGGGTCTTGTTTTTTGATCCATTCTGACAATCTCTGCTTTTTAAGTGGTATATTTAGAACATTGACATTTAAAGTGATTATTAATATAATCACTGTAGTAATAGCAAATTTGTATTGCTACTTGTAATCATCCACTGTCGTTTGATTAATATCTACTACGTCTGTCATTTTATTTTATTTATTGACATTGGTTTTTTGTTTTGTTTTCCATTATTTTCCTGCCTATCTTGGTTTTAATTGAGCATTTTATATGATTTCATTTTCTCTCTACTCTTACCATAATCATTTGACAGAATACAGTTATACTTCCTTTTCTTTTTAAAAATTATTATACTTTAAGTCCTGGGACACAAGTGCAGAATGTGCAGGTTTGTCACATAGATATACATGTGACATGGTGGTTTGCTGTACCCATCAACCTGTCATCTACATTAAGTATTTCTCCTAATGCCATCTTTCCTCTAGCCCCCTTTGACAGGCCCTGATGTGTGATGTTCCCTTCCCTGTATCCATGTGTTCTCATTGTTCAACTCCCACTTGTGAGTGACAACATGTGGTGTTTGGTTTTCTGTTTCTGTGTTAGCTTGCTGAGAATGATGGTTTCCAGCTTTATCCATGTTCCTGCAAAGGACATGAACTTATCCTTTTTTGTGCCTGCATAGTATTCACTGTATATATATGCTACATTTTCTTTATCCAGTCTATTGTTGATGGGCATTTGGGTTGGTTCCAAGTCTTTGCTATTGTGAACAGTGCTGGAGTAAATATACATGTGCATGTGTCTTTATAGTAGAATGATTTATAATCCTTTGGGTATATACCCTGTAATGGGATTGCTGGATCAAATGGTATTTCTAGTTATAGATCCTTAAGGAATCACCACACCATCTTCCACAATGGTTGACTCCCACCAATAGTGTAAAAGCGTTCCTATTTTTCCATGTCCTCTCCATATCTGTTGTTTCCTAACTTTTTAGTGATCACTTTTCTAACTGGTGTGAGATGGTATTTCATTGTGGTTTTGATTTGCATTTCTCTAATGACCAGTGATGATTATCTTTATTTCAAATGTTCATTGGCCACATAAATGTCTTCTTTTGAGAAGTGTCTGTTCATATTCTTCACCCACTTTTTGATGGGTTGTTTTTTCTCTTGTAAATTTGTTTAAGTCCCTTGTAGATTGTGGATATTAGCCCTCTGTCAGATGGATAGATTGCAAAAATTTTCTCCCATTCTTTAGGTTGCCTGTTCACTCTGATAATAGTTTCTTTTGCTGTGCAGAAGCTCTTTAGCTTCATTAGGTCCCATTTGTCAATTTTGGCTGTCGTTGCTATTGCTTTTGGTGTGTCTGTCATGGAGTCCTTGCCTATGCCTATGTCCTGAATGGTACTGCCTAGGTTTTCTTCTGGGTTTTTATGGTTTTAGGTCTTATGTTTAAGTCTTTAATCCATCTGGAGTTGGTTTTTGTATAAGGTGTAATGAAGAGGTCAAGTTTCATTTTTCTGCATATGGCTAGCCAGTTTTCCCAAGACCATTTTTAAAATAGTGAATCTTTCCCCATTGCTTTTTTTTGTCAGGCTTGTCAAAGAGCAGATGGTTGTAGATGTGTGGTGTTTTCTGAGGCCTCTGTTCTGTTCCATTGCTCTATATATCTGTTTTCGTACCAGTACCATGCTGTTGTAGTTACTGAAGCCTTGTGGTATAGTGCGAAGTCAGGTAGTGTGATGCCTCCAGCTTTGTTCTTTTTGCTTAGGATTGTCTTGACTATATGGGCTTCTTTTTGGTTCCATATGAAATTTCAAGTCGTTTTTTCTAATTCTGTGAAGAAAGTCAATGGTAGCTTTATGGGGATACCATTGAATCTATACATTACTTTGGGCAGTATGGCCATTTTCACAATATTGATTCTTCCTATCCATGAGCATGGAATGTTTTTTTCATTTGTTTGTGTCTTCTCTTATTTCCTTGAGCAGTGGTTTGTAGTTCTCCTTGAAGAGGTCCTTCACATCCCTTGTAAGTTGTATTCCTAGGTATTTTATTCTGTTTGTAGCAATTGTCAATGGGAGTTCACTCATGATTTGGCTCTCTGTTTGTCTATTATTGGTGTATAGGAATGCTTGTGATTTTTGCGCTTTGATTTGTATCCTGAGACTTTGCTGAAGTTTAAGGAGATTTGGGGCTGAGACGATGGGATTTTCTAAACATACAACCATGTCATCTGCAAACAGAGACAATTTGAATTCCTTTCTTCCTATTTGAATACCCTTTATTTCTTTCTCTTGCCTGATTTCCCTGGTCAAAACTTCCAATACTATGTTGAGTAGGAGTAGTGAGAGAGGGCATTCTTGTCTTGTGCTGGTTTTCAAAAGGAATGCTTCCAGCTTTTGCTTATTCAGTATGATATTGGCTATAGGTTTGTCATGAATAGCTCTTATTATTTTGAGATACATTTCATCAATACCTAGCTTATTGAGAGTTTTTAGCATGAAAGCGTGTTGAATTTTATCAAAGACCTTTTGTGCATCTATTGAGATAATCATGTGGTTTTTGTCATTGGTCTGTTTTTGTGATGGATTATGTTTATTGATTTGCCTATGTTGAACCAGCCTTGCATCCCAGGGATGAAGCTGACTTGATCGTGATTGGTAAGCTTTTTGATATGCTGTTGAATTTGGTTTGCTGGTATTTTATTGAGGATTTTTGCATTGATATTCATCAGGATATTGGCCTGAAATTTTCTTTTTTTGTTGTGTCTCTGCCAGGTTTTGGTATCAGGATAATGCTGGACTCATAAAATGAATTAGGGAGGAGTCCCTCTTTTTCTGTTTCCTGGAGTAGTTTCAGAA